GAGTACGTAGGGAGGAACATCAGGTCTCTTATGGTACCAGCCTGCCATGCCCAGAGCTGCCTTCTTCAAGTGCCTCATTCGGTCTCCAAGTTGACCGAATGAGGCACTTTACTAATATTGACAGCAGAGGGACAGACACATATGGAGACAGTCAGCAGTTCAACCACTGCATTCTAAGAATAATTCTTCCTATCAGCGTCATTCTATTCCATACAAACACCTCTCAAACTCATGATACACTTATATTTACAGCAGTGTGTCATAGTGGTTAGGGTTTAGCCTCTTGGGGTGAACTGCCTCTGCTTAAATTCTGAATCAGTCACTAGTTGAGTGTCCTTGGAAGCAAATTGCATGACCTTCTGGGAAATTCATCTCTGCATATGCAAAATTGTGATATTTGAATCCACCTCACAGGGCTGTTGTAAAGATTAAAGGATTTAGTTTTTGTACGCTGTTTAGAACAGGCTTTGTTAGCTTTTATTATTAATGTTTTCTATATTGAATATTTTTCTATTGTTCCAGTTACCAGTGCTGTCATCCTTACATGCTCTCACATCTAAAACTTAACATGTCTTTGCAGTTCCACCTCAACAATATCTTGTTAATGCAGCCTTTTCTTTATACTCCAGCTGTCTTGTATAGTTCTCACTATCTGTATCACTCTAGTGGAATTTATTATATACTACACTCCTTTGTATTGCTCACTGCTCATTCTTTTCTTTCATGTTTTCATTGTTTGGTTTCCCCTTGAGATCTTTTCTTATCCTACTTTTTATTCTTTTCTGCACTTAATATTGACAGTGTGTGGTGTATAATTATATGTAATCAATATTTATCAACCAGAGTTCTGTTTTTTATTTATTCAACACATTATGAGTACCTATTGCATAATAGGCATCAGGTAAAATAACTGCAATACACCATGACAAAAACTACAATTAAATCATGAGGAATTATATTGGCAGAAAGGAAGCAGCCATAACTCTGCTTGCAAGAGCCAGAAAAAGCATTGCAAAGTATATTCTTTAATGGGATATTTATTTAAAAAGTAGGCATAATATTTAAATAAGTCAACCTTAGGCTGATTCAAAGTGGGTAGCAAAATAAAATTAGAATACAGGTCTCCCTTATTATTTTCTGGGATTCTGTTGTAGAAGACTTGAACTTATATGAGTTAAGGACTATGTGTGACTTTTTTTTTTTTTTTTTTGAGACGGAGTTTCGCTCTTGTTGCCCAGGCTGGAGTGCAATGGCGCGATCTCGGCTCACCGCAACCTCCGCCTCCTGGGTTCAGGCAATTCTCCTGCCTCAGCCTCCTGAGTAGCTGGGACTACAGACACGCGCCACCATGCCCAGCTAATTTTTTTGTATTTTTAGTTGAGATGGGGTTTCACCATGTTGACCAGGATGGTCTCGATCTCTTGACCTTGTGATCCACCCGCCTCGGCCTCCCAAAGTGCTGGGATTACAGGCTTGAGCCACCGCGCCCGGCTATGTGTGACTTTTTGTCACAGGTAGTAGAAAAGTATCCTAGGAAAGTTGCTAGAATATTATAAGCACTAAATAATCGTATCAAAATCTAGAATCTAAAGTTAATTTGCCTATCTGAAGCATACGACAATTTTCTTCTTTTTAATTGTTATTGGCATTCTGAGATTCTACTGGGACTTTGCTCACATTAAGATCTCTCTCTCTCTCTCTATCTCTTTGTTACAAGATTAAATATATACAGCTGCATGCTCATGACATATTAGTGGGCTGACAACAGAATCAGTGCAGAAATGGAGACCAATGGGCTAGGATTCCAATTCTACTTCTGTTTATTATCAAACCTATTACTCTTCTGAACTTCACTTCCTTCATCTGTAAAACTGGGTTAGTATATTATTTAGGGCCACTTTGTGCATCAGAAACAATGCCCACCGATTGAAAACTTAGGAAGCTCTCAATTAAGATTAAAATTATCATTACTTATCCAGCATCATTTCTTCCATTGCCTGTTGATTCCTCTAAGCTCCCCCATGCTAGTTCACAGCTCTGAACCAAAAAGCATATATTTTTTCTCTTTATTTATCCTACTACTCTCCATAAATCTGGATACAGAAACTGATTGATATGCTTCAAAAGTACTGTAAGAAACATATCAAGCTAGAAATCTTTTTTGTTTTCAAGAATCCTGATTTTTCTAATTACAGGAAAATTTCTGGAATATTATAGCATTTAAAATCTTCAATAAACTGATAATCAGCACAGAGTAGATTATCTGTGTTACACTAAGGGTAATCTGACTGAACCAGACAACAAATTCTGCTTAAATTAGAAGCTGTAAAGTTGCAGAACAGCCTTTGCTTGTTTCCATACTTTAACTTGAGTATAAGTGTTGCAGATGTATGTCTGTGTTTATGACTCTTTGAGTTATTCACTCATTCAACAAGACTTAAGGTGCCATAAACTTCTAGGTATCATCGACTGATAGTAAATGCTAATTAACAAGCAAGTAAACAGGAAAAATATCAATGGAATACCTGAGTGATAATATAGAAAGAAATAGAATATTTGCTTAGTAATATTTGTTAAGTAAATGACTATTGTCTAATATAAGCTGGTAGTGTATTCACTTAATACTTTTAAAGAAAAAATATCAGAAAAATACTTAGCATTTTACTACCACATTCAGAGAAAAATTACAAGATTAGTTTGAAACTTTTAAAATCTTTAACCATTGAATATAATTAGAGTTTGACATATGTAATCACTGGAATATATATTAGACTGCATACTTCATGTATTGTTTTAAGTAACCTAGGCTAAGATGAGCTTTTCTGACTTTTTAGGTCTTCATACACATTCTGGTCAACAATATTAAATCTTGATACTAAAATACAAAAAATAAATGCTATATTTTTTAAATCACCAAAAGACTGTCTTGGATCTAGGTCAGGTGGTAAATACCCTGACACATGTGAATATACAGTAATACTTCCTTTCTCTGACTGTAGCTAGACTCACTCTTTTTCACTTTTGGGTCACAGTTATATCTTACATAATCCAGCAGAGGGTGCTTCCTTTTTAGGGTTGGATTAGAATTAAACATGATAGGCAAAAAGATAAAATCTTTTTATATTTCACCTCCAGTGATTGATCAAATCCCCTTGCAGTTTTATATATTTTCAGAAGTTTCCTAAGCATAATCATCTTCTAGGAGCATCACGTGTTTTAACCAGCCATTACCTAACAACAGCGTATGTGTACCTTTGAAATGTTTTCTGTCCTATTCTTCTTCTCCACTAGAAGCTATGATCCCTACTTAAAAGTTCCAGGTATATTCAGTATAGGGACATTTTTGTTTAACAGTACTTCTTCCATTCTGGGAATATAAAAGAAGTATTGTTGACATTCACAAAAACTGTAAGTTGTGTGTGTGCATGTGTGTTTGTGAAGAAAATAAACAGCTTCTTTTGATAGAATTCTCCAAAACAGAAGCATAGTTTCTGAGTATTCACAACCTCACTGGCCATGCTAAGAGTAGATGAAAATGTGTAACCTCTTCTCAATGATAAATGGCCAGTTTTCAAGAAATAGTTCATTTCCTTAAGTGTGTGGCTCTGAATTTCCCTACTGCATAAGAGTAGTTCCTGAAATTGTCATCTCAGGAGGATCCTAGTATTTTTTTTTTAATCCTTTTTCAGCAAGTCACCTAGCTCTGGAGTAGCTGCCCTTGCACAGAAGGTTCTGCTAAGGAATGCGAAACACTCAAAATGGCTTTGAATCACACTGCTCAGAAGAGACAACCACAGGCATTACAAAGGAGAAAGCTGGAGTAGACTCAGCTATCAAGCTAGCTTCAAGAGATTTTTCCCTCCCATCATTTTATATATGGTAGTGCAGTCAAATTTAATAAATGGAGATATTTCCCTGAGTATCTTGCAAGCAGACAGATTTTGCTTTTGAATTATCTTCCATCTCAAATTTTTACTGCTAAAAGCTGTACACCCGTATGGAAGACAGGCATTTCTGGAAATACAACATAGTAGGAAATCTGTATCTCTGAGTGCTGAGCTGGCCCAAACTGGAAGCAAAACACAAAGCTAAGAGAATGAGCTGGTTTTGGTGAACAAATGTTTTATAACTGCACACAGGGAAACTGAGTAGAGCTTTAACTTTAAATCCCATTAGAAAACACTGTGATTAACTGCAGGACCTCACGGATTGTTCAAGTAATAGATGAACATGCCACAGTGAAATATTTCCCCTTTTTATTTACAAACAAAAGAGGGTTTTCATGTGGGTAGAAATTAAAACATTACTGAAGTACTGGCTGCCTAAGCTTAAATTCTTTCACATTAGCATAAATCCTTTATTATGTAAAGTCAACATCTTTAATACTTTTGAATGGTTCGCATATATAATCTGTAATATTTTGTGATTTCCCTTAAAATGGGTTGGTTTCTTCAGAAAGAATTATGTACCTACAACATGAGGTAATTAACTAGAGAACAAAAGGTTTTTCTTCTGTTTCAGACAAATTTGCTTCTAAGACACAAGCTACACATGCATTATTTTTAGGACCATCACCCTTGTCCTGGATAGTAATTTTGCTGTCAGAAATGTTTTTACCATTTTCTGCAATACCAAAAAATCCTGACAAAATATTAATAGGACAAGAGAGATAAAATGTGCTATATGTTATGTTGCTTTTATAAATATTTTGGATTTGCCAAGGTGATAGACTTCTGATAAATCATAATATTTCTACAACTAAAAATCATTAACATCTACTTTGATATCTATGTTAGGTAAGAGCTACAAATTACATTGTAGATAAATGCCTTAGAAAATCATATGCAAACAATTCAAAATATATTTAATTAAAATGCATTTTAAAAGTCCTTAACCCCCTCCCCCAAAAAAGTGTAATTTTTAAGAGTATTATCCCCACAATCCTTGGCTCACAGAATTATATTAAAACGAACTTCACTCTCACATTTTTCACTTCACAGTACATCCTATTCCCAAGTGTGAAACCCTTTGTTATACAAGACGTGCCGCAAGAAATGAGAGGAGTAAAAGGTAAGAAACCCAAGGAAAAGTTCCAAAAATTGCAAACTGACAGCATGCAACAAGTCTTTGCCTCGTTAGCATATTTAATTAGCTATTTGATGTTGGCTAACATACTGCGATTTGGGAATTGGTTGCTGTATTATGGCCCCCAAAGATGTCTGTATCCTAATTGCCAACACCTGAAAATGTTGCCTTATATGGCAATAGGGATTTTGCAGATATGATTGAGTTAAGGATTTTGAGATAGGAAGATCATCCTGGATTATCAGGGTGGGTCTGAAGTAATAATAATGGTCCTTATGAGAGATGCCAGAGGAGTCACAGTCAGACAGTAGGAGATGTGAAACCAGAGACAGAGGGATGGAGAAAACTTTGAAGAAGTTATCCTCCCGGCTTTGAAGATACAAGAAAGGAGCCATGATCCAAAGGATGTTGGTAGCCCCTGGAATATGGCAAAGACAAGAAAATGGATTCTTCCCTGGATCCTCTGGAAGGAACTATACTGCATACTTATTTTAGACTTCTGACCTCTAGAGCTGTAAGAGAATGTATTTGTGTTGTATTCAGTTGCTAAAATGTGGAATTTGCTATAGCATCAATAGCAAACTAATACAGTTGCCTATAATTCATCAAACTGAGAAGATCTCATATACAGATTCAGACTTCTTTGTTTTTGCTTCTGTTGAGAACTGGAAAATCTAATGAGGGCTGAGTATCACCACCTCCTCCTGTCAATGACTGGTTAAAGCTGATCCCTTTAGAGGGTATACATTCTCTAGTCTACCAATGCTTTCAGACTATGTATTTTTTTTCTTTGAAACCTCTGGTAGACATTTGAATTTGTGACCCCTGTTATATGGTCTTATATTTTGCATTTTACTTAATATTCATCTCATACTTAGCTTTTTAAGGAATTATATCTAATTATCCAATTTTTACAAATGGCATTCTATTAAACTATTTGTATTAGGCCATTCTTACACTGCTATAAAGAAATACCAGAGACTGGGTAATTTACAAAGAAAAAAGGTTTAGTTGGCTCACACTTCTGAAGGCTGTACAAGATGCGTGGTGCTGGCCTTTTCCTGGCTTCTGGGGAGGCCTCAGGAAACTTACAATCATGGTGGAAGGCAAATTGGGGAGCAGAAAACATCACATGGCCAGAGCAAGAGTGAGAGAGGAAGCAGGAAGGTGCCATACACTTTTCAATAACTAGATCTCATGAGACCTCAGTCACTATCACACAAATAGCACCAAGGGGATGATGCCAAACCATTCAAGAGAAACATAAACTCATCATCAACTACTTCCCTCCAATATTGGAGATTACAATTCAATATCAGATTTGGGCCACAACGCATATCCAAACTATATCACTATTGATCCTGAGAATTTTTATTCTCATTTGCTTGTTTTTCCACCATCCACCTCTCTTTCCTTAAACTTTTTGAAGATTTTCTACTGTTGGTGAGCCATAATTACATTATTTGTAGCATAAGTAGTGTACTGAATGAGTGGAATTCAGGAGTATCTGGATGCAATCAGTGTGTTCTTTTTCACTGCCAGCTATCCCGCCTGCTACTCCTTCATGAAATCTCAGGCACATTGGGCACTCTCGCATACTAACAGTTTCATATTCCAGGTACTAAAAAATCCAATACAGGTTAATATTAAAGTTTCCCATTCCCCCTCAGCGTTGGTGGGCTTTAAGCTGCAGTGAGGAAAAGGAGTGTATGTGAGAGACACAGTTAACTGATCCTCCAGAGGCTCCGAGAAAAGTTATTTCCTTCCTTTCCCAGCTTGTAGAGCTGCATTCATTAGCTCATGGTCCTTTCCTGAACCCCCTTCTAAGCCAGCAGCTTAGTGTAGCTTCAATCCTAACACTGCCTTTCTTTAGCCGTATCTCCTTCCGCTTCCCTCTTATAGGAACACTTGTGATTACGTTATTTGGCCCACCTGGACAATCTTGGCTACTCTCATCTCAAGATCCTTAACTTGATCACATCTGCAAAATCCTTGCCATAAAAAGTAGCATTCATAGATACTAGGAATTAAGACATGGACCACAATTCAGCAAACTCGAGGGCCACATTTCAGCAAAGTACATTCAGCCTATAGAATTAAAGCCGTAACAACAAAAAAGATTTTACACTAATTGGAATTCTAACTACCAAATTTTATGGTCCTCATCCTACTACCATTCTCTGTTGCATTTAAGATGGCTAACCACTTGTTCCTTCTTTAAACAGTTTTCTCCATTGGATTTCAGATGCTGTCGTTCTTTTCTGCCTCTTCTGCTAGATTCCCTTCTCTTTCACCCAACTTTTTGACTCTGCATTCATCCCCACCCCCATTTCTCTACACCCATGTCTCCCACTGTCATAACTCCTAATGAGTCACAAGTCTATATTTCAAGCTCCAGTCTCTTTTTCACTAGTATTTGCAACCACATTTTGGGCATAGTCCTCTGAAACTCATTATTTCCAAAAATGAACCCATTCTCTTGTCAAGCAAACTTGCCAGTCTTCTCATATTTTTTGTTTGTTTTCTTTCATTTTATTCTCACTGGCACTGTCATTGTTTAGGGCCTTAATTTTCTTTTACTCCTGAACTGCTGTAGCTGCCTTTAATTGGTAGCCCTACCCTCAGTCTTTTCTCACTCAAATCCATTTTTTACATCGTGGCTAGATTAATATTTCTTTTTTTGGAGTGCAGTGGTGTGATCTTGACTCATTGCAACCTTCACCTCCCAGGTTCAAGGGATTCTCCTGCCTCAGCCTCCCAAGTAGCTGGGATTATAGGTGCGGACCACCACCCCCACTAATTTTTATATTTTTAGTAGAGACAGGGTTTTGCCAAGTTGGCCAGGCTGGTTTTGAACCCCTAACTTCAAGTGATTCATCCTCCTCAGCCTTCCAAACTGCCAGGATTACAGGCATAAGCCACCTTGCCAGACTTAGATTAACATTTTCAAAACTCAAAAGTAAAGTAGTCATATAATTCTATATGCGTAAAATGACAACAACAACAACAAAATCTTAGAGGCTGGGTGCAGTGGCTCATGTCTGTAATCCCAGCACTTTGGAAGGCCAAGGCGGGTGGATCCACTGAGGTCAGGAGTTTAAGATCAGCCTGACCAATATGGAGAAACCCTGTCTCTACTAAAATTGCAAAATTAGCCAGGTATGGTGGTGCATGCCTATAATCCCAGCTATTGGGGAGACTGAGGCAAAAGAATCACTTGAACCTGGGAGGCAGAGGTTGTGGTGAGCTGAGATCACAACATTGCACTCCATCCTGGGCAACAACAGCAAAATTCCATCTTAAAAAAAAAAAATTAGATAACTACTTCCATCCCCAAGATAAATTTAGAATTCTGACCCCTCACATTGAATGTCATTTTTAATCTGGCCCTGCTCTAACTCTTCATGTTCTTTTATTGTCACTTCTTTTCAACTCCCAGCCACACTAGATGAATCTATTTCCAGGAAACATCTTGCACTTTTAGAATGGCTGGTATTTCCTTTTTTTTCTACCTTTTCCTAAATAGCATTCTGCTAAGATGAAACTCTCCTCATTTTTAAGGCACAACTTCAATGTTCCTTCCTCTGAAATCCCTTTTCTATTTTCCCATAGCACTTTTTACGTATATTCATATCATAATAATAAACACTGCTGTTTTTATACATTTGTATCTACCTAACAGTACGTTGTAAGCTAAGTTTCTTTAGAGCATAGTCTTCCATTCCTCTTAGTATCCCTAATGGCAAGCATGGCTCCTATAATCAACATTAAGATTTTGCATCTATGTAACAAATACCTGAGTTTGACTGTTTAAGCTTTCCATGTCTAAATATCTTTACTTATAAAATGGGGAGGTGCATAACAGTACATACGTGCATTAATTCTAATGAAGCATTTAGATAATGTCTGCCATATAATCAGGAGTATAAAGTGTTAAATAATAAATAAAAGCTGTGTGCAGCTGTGGGTAACTGTTGTCCCTGCATTAATTCTTATGAAACATTTAGAGTAATGCCTGCCATATAATAAGGAGCATAAACTGTTAAATAACAAATAAAAGCTGGGTGTAGCTGTGGGTACCTCTAGTCCCAGCTATTTGGGGAGGCTGAGACAGGAGGATCAGTTGAGGCCAGGAGTTTGAGGCTGCGTGAACTACAATCAACACTGCAAATAGCCACTGCACTTCAGTCTGGGCAATGTAATAAGAACTTGTGACCAAAAAAATAGCAAAAGCAAAAATAAAATGGTTAATCTTTAAAAAGTAAATGTTTGCTGAATGACATGATTATTACATATAAAACAAAATTTAAAACGAATTCATAAGAAGCTTACCTAATAGCATAAAAATGAAATAATTTATGCATGAGAAAGGGTAAAATTATTCTGAAAGCATAAACTCATACAAGATGTTTTTGTCATGAGATCAGGAGAATAGAAATATGAGGGCATTTCTCATCTTGTTCCCCTGATGCTGACTCTTAGCACAGTTACCTCCAAAAAAATAATAAAAAAAAATACACCTCTTCCGTTGAATTAAGTCCATGGGACCACAGAGCAAAATGAGAAATTATCCTTTTAATTAGCTTCAGTGAGGTTCAATTAAATTATTTTCTGAGAATTAATAATAGTGGAAGAATTTTCTAGGTCTCCCTTTTAAAAGAAACATTTAAGTCTCTTTAAAAATCAAAACCATTACCATGAAAATTTCTTGACCAGAATGAAGAATTCTCTAGATATCTGCAATTTAAAAAATAGAATTAAGAAGTCTAACATTGGCATGATGTTTCTAAATTACTAAGATCATCATATAATTTGCCCAGCAGTCATTCTTTGAGCAAGCTCCTTTTAGAGCCAGAATTTAAGCAGGAAATTGAATCTGCAAAAGGAAGATCAATGAAGCATTATGTCTTCAAATACTTATAGATGAATGAATAAGTGTTCAAGGATAAGGAACTGTCAAATATGTGGAGATGAAGGGTAGGATA